CCGTACTGTACTGGACTGCCCAGCTCGGCTCAGAAGACACGCTACTACCAGCCCCCTGCCCCAGCCTGCTCTGCACGGGACTAAGCACAGGCCCCCAGTGCAGCTCAGACAGGTAGTCCCACCAGCTTCCCACCCAGCCTGCTCTATACAGGGCCAAGCACAGGCTCCCAGATCGGTATGGACCCCAGCCTGGCTCAGATGGGTAGTCCCACCAGCTCCCTGACCTCACCTAACGGGGCAAGCACAGGACCCCGGCCCAGCTCAGAAGGGCATTCACACTGGTCTACAACTAGTGTGCTCTGCATGAAGCCATGCACAGAACCCCAGCCTGGCTCAGATGGCCTAGTCCATTCCCACTGGCCGTCCCCAGTCTGCTCTGTCTGTAGCTAATGACAGGGACATCCTAATCCATTCCCTCCTACCCAGACTGCCCTGTACAGAGCTAATGACAGGACCCCAGCCAGGCTCCAACAAGCTGTTCCCACCTGTGCTCAGAGGGCCTACACCACCCTCACCTGCTCCGACCCAGCCTTGCTCTGCATGGAGCGGGGGACAGGACCCCAGCCCTGCTCAGACAGCTACCCCCACCCAGCCTGCTCTGTACAGTCTGGCTCAGACGCTAAGTTAAAATACTTGTCAGTCTCATAAATCCTTGAGGAGGGCTTTGGGCGCTATGTGTATGCTTCCCGGGCCGCCCCACCTGGCCACACTCTGAAGGACCCGTCTAGAGGACATGCTCCTTGCACTCCGCAGGGTGTGGGGCTCCCACTGGCATGGCAATCAGCTGGGCCTTGACATGACCAGGCCCGTTCCAGAGGCGGCACAGGGAGTGGGGGACAGACCCGGGAAGCCACCCTAGCTTGGCGCTGTCCTCACTTCTGCTACCTGTCCTGGTTCCTCCTTAAGGCCTCTACCCAGGAATAGAGTCACCCGGCGTGGGTGTGGGGTGCTACGGCTGAACAGTGATCAGGACACAGAACTTCATCCCTACCTGCAGGTCAACAGCTGCCGCTCCGGGAGCTGCTGGAACTTGCCCGCCCAGAGCAGCACCCGCCCCAGCTCCCACATCCACACGCTTCTGGGAATGCCTGGCGGGCAGGCTCTGGGGGTCAGGACTTCCCGTGGCTCAGTGGCCCCCACGCCCCGTTACCTTGGTCAGCCATTTGTTGTAGAAGGTGATGCCAATGGAGAAGCAGTAGTAGAGCAGGATCAGCCCCAGGGTCAGCACCGCCTTCCACACAAAGGCCACGTCGAGGGCCCACCGCCCCATCCGGGGACGCTGCGCGCCCAACTGGCCGGGTGAGGGCGGTGCCCAGGAGCCAGCAGGGCTGGGCCCTGGCTCTCAACACCGGCACCTCCTGCCTGGGGCTGTTCTCTCCGCCTCCATGGCCAGGGATGGTCAGCGGTGCCCCAGGCTGGGTCCTCTCCCACGGGGCTGGTGGCCTGACTGGACCCCTTCCATGGTGAACGGGACGTGAGGCTCACAGGTGCCCAGGTCAATGCTGTGAAAGTGAAAAGGGCAGCTGGATGACTGGGCCAAACCACACCTCTTGGTAGGGCTGCAGGGCCTCAGGGCACCGAGCCACATCCTCTCGTCCCCTCCAACTGCCACCAGAGTGACCTTTGGAAAATGCACATCTGATCTTGTCAGACTACTGCTCAAGAGTCTGGATGACGTCCATGGCCTTCCTTCACGCCCCTTTCCAACATTTTAATTTAAAAAGAAAAGACACAGTTAAGACTGTAAAAAAGCTCTGATACTCATATGACAGGAAGAGTGAGTCAAAAACCGAGAAAAAGATCTAAAGGTGAACTGAAAATTAGGAGGCACATGATCGATAAGGCTGAGAGGTCAAGCCTACGATGTGATGTTTTGTCTTCTCATAAGAACACAAAGCTTGACTGGGCAGTCCCAGGAAGCGTCCCTCAGCAAATCTGTGAGGGAACACGAGAACTGTGTCTACTTTTCACATGATGAAACCACTAAGATGTACCGATTCTGAGAGGCCTGGGGTCGCTGAGCACGCACTGGAGGGACAAACCCACGCGGATCCCTCAGTGTCAGCGTGAGAGATGGTGTCTCCTCTCCAGTAAGGCCTAGACCTTCCCCACTCTGCATTTATTTTTTTGTTTGTTTGTTTTAATGAAAAGGGCTATCATTAAAAAAAAGTGGGCTATCATATCATACAAGTAAAAGTAAGTTTACTAGGGATAGAGGGGACTGTTGGTGGTATATTTTTGATGCTGCCTTTTTTTTTAAAAAAAAAAATTAATTTTATTATTGTGTGTGTGTGTGTGTGTGTACCGTCAAATCAGATCTGACTGGTACAGGAGGAGACTGTCCCACCTTCTCCAGCAGAGCATCTGGTGGATTCGAACCACATCCCTCTGGGATTGCCGTGTAGCTTCTTGCCACTAGACCACCAGAGTTCCCTCTTCATTTTTTTTAAAAATAATTGTGACTTGTTAGAATCCACCAGATGCTCTGCTGGAGAGGGAGGGACAATCTCCTGTACCAATCAGATCTGATTTGCCAGTACACACATGAGAAATAATAAAAATTTAAAAAAAAAATAAATAAAATTGTGACTTGGTTTTCCACTCATATTTATTTTATAACATTACAGTATCCACAATGAACCTGCATTTTTTTCCATTTCCAGGATATAAGTCTCCTTTCCATTATCCTTCTACCTATCCCCCCCGCCCCGCCTGGGCTTTATCCCTGGGCAAATGACCTTGCTGTCACTGTTAACTGACTGACTCAGGGACCTCATGACAACAGATCCAACCTGGCACCGCCCATCAGCCTCCCTGAGTCTTCCGAGAGCAATGACAGCCCAGCTGTGGGGTTCCACCGGTCTCTAATGGAACCATTAAGCCTAAACACTTTATGTTTGTCCACTCTATTCAGGACTTTCTTCGTGATTTTCTTTTTTTTAGTTGTCAGCAGTGGGAGCCAAGCACCATCTAGGTCTTCTGGTCTCAGGCTCATGGACGCTGAGGCTTAAGTAGACCCCCAGTCCTTCGGACTCACTGCTTCACTGCATCTTTGCTCTTCTCCTCTCTTCTTTGCTCAGGGCTGGGAGAGAGCAACAGGTACACCTTGGATGGGTGCGTGCAAGCTTTTCAGACTCCATATGCTACTCGCCAAAGCAGGACACAGAACACTGTCTTGGTGGATTGTTATGCCAACTGACTCTGGAGTCTGTCAAGGCTACAGAAGCAGTAACTCATTCCCTGCGTGTTTGGTTTTGATTAAGAAGTTTACTTATGCTCTGCACCCCGCAGGCTCTGCTAAATACACAGATGAGTTTACAGCACAGACTAATATGAATGCAGAAATAGCTGCTAAACCTAGGGATGGTCCGGCTGCAGTCGTTCTGACCTATCGTTCTGTTTGTCTTGGCTTCCAGGGATTTTATGGTAAAAACCAAACCCTGCCTGGGGCTCAGAAGGCCCGAGTGTGCCCTGTCTGCCTCAGGTCTCAGCTGAGGGGTTTTCTGGGCCCCAGGCTCCTTCCTGTTGTCTGAGGAACTGAATACCATCCATCCTTTACTCCTTCCTCAGTGTGTCTTCAGCTCCAGGGACTCCACATCAGCTCCTCTGAGAAATAAGCTGCTTTCACGGCCCCTCCAGCTTCAGTGTGTATGTGTTTTAACTCTGACAGGCTAGGAGCCCGGGGGAAAGGACCCCGTCCACACTCGTGTGGGCTGACGGGGCACAGCGTATCCCCCATCCCGAGCACCTCGCTTGGGACTCTCCTCTCTGCTGAAACGTCACTTCTGGGAGCCGTCCTTGAACCATCTGATAGGGCACAGGCCCAGCCTCCCCACCTCCAATCCTTCCCGGGAACAGTAAACACTCTGCCTTGCACTCTGGAATGTCTGTTATCATTTTTCTGCCCCCAGGCAAACACAGAGCTGGCAGGAGGCTGTCCAAAGGGCACCCCTGAGCAGTGCTTCTCTGCGGGGTGCTCTGGTGGGACACTTCAGGTGTGTAGCAAGTGGGGAAGGGGGGCCCTGTCACCAGAGAAAGCTTAGCACCCCACCCCTCTGACAATCACAAGAGCCTTACATTACTTTTCGGCAGCACAAAGCCATTCCTGCCTGGCTTGGTCCCACTCAAATTTCCATAAATGTGTGGCAGGGATACGGTGGGGCACTGCACCAGGAGTTCCCACTTTGGAGAAAGCACACAGGCAGCGTCAGCCCCTGTGGCACCTGAGTTTCCCGTTCCCAGGACCATCTCTGTGTGACCATCATGTCACATCACGCAGGGCTCCTGACCCCACTGCAACCCATCTTATCAATTACTTCTCACTTATTTCACTTTGAGAGTTAGAGCCCTGCCAATAAAAAAAAAACAAAACAACAAAAAAACCCTGGGTAAACAACAACAACAACAACAAAAGCTAAACAACTCACAATGGTCCTACAGCACAGAGCAGAAATGCCCCGTCAGGCTTAACAAGACATCAAGCGTTACAGAAACAGGCTGCTTCACCTTCTCCTTTGGAGAAGCGGGTGGATTAGATTTTAATTAACCATAAACTTCACCTCAGGATGACAAGGGGAGGGTTGCTACAAAATAATTTGTTACGGAAAGAGATATTGTATCCAGTGGGCTTGAGACAAACTGTGCTCTGTGAAAGGAGGCCTGGTGGCGCAGTGGTGAAACAATAATCTGCTAACAGAAAGCTCAGCGCTTCCAATGCAGCAGCTGCAACCTGCGTCTATAAAGACTTGCAGTCCCAGGCACCCCAGGGGCAGCAATTCTACTCAACCTTCAAGGTCAAAGTCAGAACGAACTCAGTGCAACAGGTGCTCCTAGGTAGCAACAGACACACTTTTTAAGGTGTATCACTAGCTCAGGATGCCCCGAAGCCCCAGAAGGATATCAAACTGCCTATTCGTCCTCTTCACTTGGACATCCGCTATGAGGCATGTCATACTCAATGTGCAGAAGTCCTCTCCCACACCAAGGGAATCTGGTGGCCTGGTGGATAAAAAACGTACACAGCCAACTCAACAGTGGGTAGCCCAAATCCAGCTGCTGCTTCATGGTAGAAAGATGGGCAACTGCCTCCCATCTATCTTGTCATTTACAGTCTTTCAAAACCTGGAGAGTCAGCGAGGAGTTGTTCCAAATCAATGGCACGCCAACAACCATCCTCCCACACCCACGCTCTGTCCAAACCGATGCCTCTTCCTGTTTCCCACCTCAGCAGAGGCCTCTCTGTTCGCCCGGAGGCTCAGGCCAAACTGCTCTTGTCCTTGAATCCTTCTTCCCTCAGTGTGTGCTCGGTCACAAACACTGCCAGCACTTGCTTCAAAAAAGACCCTGAGCACGGCTTCTTAGACTCCATGCCCACTCCTCAGCCAGCTTCCCCTGGACCCTGAAGGACTCCATCAGCCTCCTGCCGTACCCTCTGCTTCTGTGCACAACACCTGCAGGCCGACTTGAGCTGACATAGCTGGAGAGTGGGGCACCCATGGTCACTGACACCTCAAAGGCCCCTCTCTACACCACGGCTTCTCTCCTGGGCACTGCTGCTGACTTTGGGACTGGATCCTTCTTTGTTGGGTGCAGGGGCGGGTGTGTGTGTGTGTGTGTGTGTGTGTGTGTGTGTGTCCCATCTACTGCAGGGTGTTCTGGAGATCCCTGGACCTCTCTCCACTAGCTGCAGTAGTGCACACCTCTCTGGACAGTGAGACACCCCAAGAGGTTGCCAGACATGGCCAAAAGTCCCCAGGGGGCAAAACTGTTTTCACTGGCTCAGAGGCACTGCTTACCCCACGCAGGCACACTGACACTCACCTGTCCTCCCTACATTCGCACCCTGTGGTTCCTGCACACGCTCCAGGCCAGGGCAGCCTGGCTGTGAACCACCCCCTGCTCCAACACTGCCATGACACCCCCACCTTTCTGCCTGGCCAATTCTCACCTTTGCGGAAAAAGATCTAACCCAGGGCTCCTGTCTCCAGGAAGACATCTGTGATTCCCCCAGCCCCAGGGAGAACTGCTTCAAAGGTTAAAACTCATCATGTCACTGGAACTGAGAAGCCCTTCCACTCACACCCCGAAGGCAAACGTCAGTGGGCAGAGCCCTTGGACACCACCTAGTTACTCAGGCAATGTGCCTTTATTAAACATCCCTGGAGGATGTTTAATAAAGGAGGGCTAGTGGCCTAGTGGGTAAGGAGTTGTGCTGCCAACGCAAAGACAGGTGACTCAAATCCATCGGCTGCTCCTCGGGATAAAGACGGG